AGGTGAGCAGATGTGATACAGGTATGAAACAAAGAAGATGAGATGGGGACAAATATTCTAGAATGTCTCACAGATTAAGGAATGTGAAGTTGAGCCTGGAGGGAATTCTCAAGCCAGAGCTGCTATCAGAGGAGCTTCCTGACTCGCACAGGTAGATATGCCTCATTGTTTCTAATGGACTCAGCCGTGGAAAAGGAGGACTTGGAGTTCTGGTACCAAGGTGGTGATGACTTCTAAAGTGTACCAGCTGGTGGACACTGCAGGTGTCTGTGAAATATTTTCTTCCAGCAATGGGAAAGTAAAACTCTCTCCTTATAGGGAAAGCATTCAATAATTCAATACATATAACATAAGAGTATAAGCATTGAATTATCTATAATGACTAATCTAATTATTAATACTGCTCTAAAACTACTGCCACATCCATTGTCTATTGTTCACTACTAACTGATGTGTCACACCCGTGTGTCATGTGTAGTTAATGATGATCACTTATAAATAACTTGGATACTACACTGAAGATGGGCTTTAGATATCCATTCCTTTTTTGAGTATCTATGAAAAGGTGAGAAAAATGAGAAGCACTCGATTCTCTCATTTTTCCCTGTTCTACAGGGAGGGGGTTTGGGTTGGCCAGGCACCAACACACACCTCTCCCTCACTTCTTTTACTCCCTCTTGCATCCCACCAGACAGTTCACTTCAGTGTCCTCTCTGACCATCAAACTGACATTTCCCACTTCAATATGAGTGCAAACAGCCAGTATAGTTTTCCTGTTTCACACGAGTCACTTCCATTTTTGATAATGCAGAGTGTATCTTGGAGTGGCTAAGATTAGGATTAGATGAATCCTTATTTGCATACCCTATATTTATAGCAAGGCTTCCAGAATATTCACTAGTTTCAGCCCTCACCCTCACTGAAACAGAATTGCTAGCTCCTATGTAAGTACTTCTTGCCCATGGACTTCTTAAAGTTTAGGGTAGGAAGGATCCCTTCTGTTTGCAGCACAGGCTTAGTAAAATAAATATTGTCTTTGATGATCCTTTAAACCTGCCCATGATTTATTTCTAAAGTAATGTGGAATCCAAAAGTCATGTAAATCTACATATGATTTTTATCTTGAGTAGTGGGAACAGAATGAATGACACCAAAGAGCTTCAGAGACTACTAGTGGAGATAGAACACCTGGAAGAATCATCTTACAGTATCCAAAACAAGCTGCCATCTGACAGTTTCAGCTAGCAGCATCAGAGAGCCAGCACCTGTTAGAGTTGATCTATAGTGTCCAGCACTAGCTAGCATAAGACAGTGATGGTTGGCAGTGGTAGTGATTATCAGCTGACTCTATCAACTGTTGGTGTCCAACATTACCTGATGACATCACAACGCTAGTACTTGAGCTGTACTTTGCCAATTCAACATTTCCATCTGTATTATAGATAGCTTCACAAAAAATGTACTAAGATTTTTTTTGGAGGGGAGACACATTGAGAGTTATAAAACACCACACAGGAAAAGTGTCGATCGACTGATGGAAAATGAACCCCAGGAAAAAAGCTTTGCATTAGAAAAGGAATCTCCATCTGTCCAAGCTTGTAAATGATAGATGTCCTGGTTACTTAGTTTAAACTTCTAGACTTCTCAGGTTGACACAATACATTAACCATAACAATCATCCCCTTTTCAACTTGGCAACAAGGCACATTTATTTAAATTGGTTTCCAGATGCAAAGTCATGCTTATTTTTATCATTTTACAATTTGAACTGTATAAAACAGGTTTGACAATTCTCAAGAATCGATATTGAGTCTTACAACATTATATAACAGTAGAACCATTACATTTTGCCCCTGGTCTTCCAAAGACGAATATATATCCCTTTATGTAAAAGACATTTAGTCCATCTTCAAGAGTTACCAAGGACCTAACAGTTTCAGTATTGCTGAAAAATCCTACTTCCAAGTCTCCTCCAAGATGTAGGGCAACTTTTTGCTGCAAGCTCCTGTACAAGTGAAATCAAAGTAAAACACTTCCGACATGGAATGGTACAAGACAAATATTTTCATTCTAAAAGTTACAAATAAGAGTATATAAAGGATTGGGACCAGAGCAAGCCCAAAATCTAGCAGGGCAAACACTAAGTTCTGTAGTTCCATGTCCAGTGTCTAAAGCAACCTGTGACAAATTGTGAGCTCCAAAGGGCTTGAATGACTCTACCTCTATGGAATTTCTGGGGGTTACAGTTCTCACAGTATCTGTTTTAGGCCTACTTTACTCTCTCATTGAACCTTATCTTGGCAGATCCATATTTCTGGCTTTTCCAAACTTCTGGGGTCTCCACTGAACCTTCAACTTCATACTCATAGCTTCACCCACTTCTCTCTCGGGGGCATACTACCTGACCTCCCAGGTGTTCTGAAATCAAGGAAGAAGACTTTTAATTACATTCTGCATGTACTCACAACCAGCACCATGTGGATGATGTCAAGGTCAGCTGAAGCAGTGGCCAGGTTTTCCTCTCACCTGGCTATAGGTGTTGAGTGCCTAGATTGCTGGGCATTCTGATTTAGTTCTGAGTAACAAGTATTTTATGCTGCTGCAATTCTGGAACATGGTACTTTGTGCCTTACATTTTTGAAGTTTTGAGGCTGCAAAGGGTGGATACTTGCATCTTTTTGTGATGCCTCTGGCTATTTTTTTCTATTCTTCTGTGCCTTCTCAATTGTCAAGATTTCCTCAGCTTTATTGTTGCAATTCATAACTTTACCAGAGCTCCCTTTTATGACCAAACTTGCAACACTTTAAATCATCCTTCTGGGCTCTTTGCTCTTGACTGTCAACAGAAATCTGTCTAAAAGCCCCAGCGATAGCAATTTCTCGGCTTCAACACTGAACTGCCTTGAAATTTCTTCTGCCAGATTAATTAGTCCACCACCCTTGATCTTCATCTTAAGCAAATTCTCTAGACAAGAGAAAAATAAAAACATTTTACCCAGCCATAACATACATCATCTGGAGTCCAGCACCCAATGCAGTCCTTCCCAGCCAACACCCCTGAGCTTTATCCTTACTGCCAAGATTTCTATCAGCTTTTTGATCTTATGAGTTCTGACCAGAATCTCTCATACAGAACAGCCTAAGGTGTTCCAGTACTACAATTTCAGGCGACATCTCCTAACCTTTTCAAACTCTTCCCATAAACCATTCCCAAAGCCTTTGTCAGACACAGCCATAGAAATGCCCCCATTTCCTTAATACCAAAATATGTCTTGGTTACTTAGTTAAGCTTCTAAATTTCTCCAGTTGACACAAAGTATCAACCATAATATTGGCTATGATCTCTGACATGGTATGATAGATGATTATGGTTTTTACTTGAATAAGGAAAAACCTAGCAAACTGGTTTAGCATAGTTCTGCATGTGTAGATGAGTGATTTACTGAAGACAGAAGACTCAATCTGGGTGTGGGAAACATGAGTCAATAGGTTTGTAGACAGGACGGAATAAAAAGTGAAAGAAGAATGAAGTCTCAGTCCTGTTTCTTTGCCATCACCTTGGAATTTCAATCTCCATGCTTCCAGCACAGACTTTTAGCCTTTTAGTGTATACCTTTAGACCTCCTGATAATAGACTCTCTGGGAACTCCATAGTGAGCACCAGTCCTTTGACTTCAGATTAGATCTTTCTGTTCTCTAATGTTCTTTTGCATTTTTCAACAACTGATTCCCCAGGCAACCACTGCAATTCTTTGTTAAAAAACAATAGATATAGATATAGATATAGATATAGATATAGATATAGATATAGATATATGTGACATGATGTGCATGACTTATATCTTATATTTAATGTGTTTCTTTGGTGAACTCTAACATATACACATGGTCTCCGATCAAGTTCATCCATTCAATAGAGGAACCAACACTGTACAAAGCATTATGGGCCTTAAGGATAATGCTGGACCGATTACATGACATTGTTCAATTGGTATATTTTTGCAAATTAGTGAAATGATTCAGTACAATAGATGCAAATATCAATTTATTTGTATCACTGAATATTGAAAAACACACTTTGATAGAATATATATGTAAAGATCAAAAATTTCTAAACACCAAGAAGAATTTTCAGATTTTTGATACTCAATGCAAAAGAGAAATATTTGATAGCTACAGAACAATCATATTTTTTCTTTAAGGATAAAAGTAAGTGAGGCAGAGAAGTCTTCATGGGCCCGTGGATACATGGATTTCCAGTGAATTGCTGACCCTGAAACTAAATAATGAACTTTTGCATTGAACTTTGAGAGCTTTCAGTAACTTTAAAAATGAATTGAAGTCTTGTTTGTGACACTATCTCTGCACCACTGAGACTGTTGTAGTCAAGTTATTACATGGTCGTCACCTCAGAAGCTCAGTCTTGCTGCCTTCCTGAGTACTTTGATCATTTCCCAAGGAGACATATGGATTGATTGCACTCAGCTTGTCTGCCTCTGTCCGGGTAACTCTCTCTCAGTGCGTTGAATCTAATGTATCTTGGAAAGAAATGCTAAGGACTTCGGAATGTGGGAAAATTAGGCTACGGAGTTTTTGCAGCAAGTTAGGATGTCTGAAGGTAATTATTCTACATCTCCGTACTTTACCTTCTTCATCTGAAAAAAAAAAAAGCCACAAAATAGTTTTCAAATGAGAAATGATAAAAAAGAAATGGCTTATGTAGAATTTCTAGGGAACAATAGCTGCTAAATAGGTCAATGCTTAGAATTCTTATATATCTAGAAGCATGCATGTCATCTTTCATTTGATATATTTGCAATTTATTTTGTTAAATTTATTGAAAATAGAAATTCAAAATATTTACTTTCAGGACTACCAACAAACCAACTATAGATACACGCAAAATGTCTACCTCCCCCACTAATGCTGTAGCTTTCCCCCATTACTGAGCCTCGTCACATTATTACTATCCAGATTCTATGTGAAAGAGAATGCAGCACATGTGTAGGACATTTGCTCAAAAGAGAGCTCACAAGATTTGTGCCCTTTGTCACAATGATCCTAGATTCTTGTTGGGTGTGTTGTAAACAGAGAAGCCAGTCTTCAGGCCATTCTTCTGCTCTAAGCACACCCCATATATTTACAATTTAAAACCAATCATCAATCACCTCCAATATCAGTTAATGTAAGTTGGCCTTATTGACAAATCCATATTAGTAAGAAAGATGACAGATATGGGTTTCCTTGTGTTATCATTAATATCTGCTTTTGTCTGTACTTGCATGCATATATTTAATCCATCTATATGTAAAAACAATGAAACTTTAGGCAAAAAATACAACGTCCTTGGGCTTTTATATCACTTAATACTCATTGTAACTGTAATTTGGAAAAGATTTCTTAACTTGTTTTAGTTCCTTTGGTTGTAGAATGAATACAGTAATACAATCTGATGAATCCCTATCCAATGTACAATGAATTATTGCTATCAACATTATTGAGTACAAACAGTAGAACATTTGTGTTGGTTTTGGTTGTTTCTTCATGTGAATGTTTAAGGAATCTTCTCAATTAAGTGGCACTTGGGGGCTCTTTCTCAGTATACTTCTACATTGTTTATATAAACACTTATCAAAGCAAAAGAAATCACATCACTGTTTGCTTTTTTCCTGCTTTTTCTAACCCTTTACTCTTTTACTCCCCTGGCATTCCCTTATCCTTTGAAAAGAGACCTACATAAGGTACTTCTAAACCACTAGAATCACATTTGCCCTATCAATTTTAGTATCTAGAAACACTAGGGAAAGAATACCTACACATTTATTTTCAAATAATATAGTATAGTAACAAGCTTCCCAGACTCACCCCTATCTTATTCCATACTGTGATTTCATTAACTCTGGCAAAGTCTTTGGGGAAAACCATAAACTATTTTCTTATTAGAGCATGCAGCTTATTTGTAATAGATATTAGGAAATGAATATTCTTTTATTTATTTTTGTTAATCATTTGGGGCATTTCTCAATTGTATTCTATAAGTAAGTAGAAAAATTAGAGAAAAATTTAATTAGACCCCAAAATCTCTAACTAAAACATATGTTTGAGTTCCATATGACAAATACTAGAGAGGCTGCTGCTCATTCATGTAAATACGAGTGATAGAATCTCATTTACAGTTATCTGAGTTTGGCATTCAGTACCACTGGCATGCATATTTGATGATAATATTGATTGAAAGAATGATGCTCATTTAAAATTTTTATTTTCTAAAAGCACTTTACAATAAAATTTAGCCTTCTTTTGTGTTACTGTAACAAAGTATCGAAAGTTAGGTAATTCATTGAGAAAAAAATTTATGGAGCTTATTGTTTGGGAGTCAGAAAGTCCATAATAGGTTGGCTACAGATGGTGTGAGCCTTATGCTGTGTAGTAATGCTGGCTTTGCATGATGACAGTTGACATGTGAGGAGCAAGCCTCCTATGCAAAAGAAACCAAATACACAGTGTGGACTTGCTTTATAACAAAACACACTTGAAATCACATAGCCAGTTTTAAGAAACAAATCCACTCCAGCAAGAGGAGCTTGAAGCCTATCAGAATGTGTGTCACCAGAGGACCTTGTCCCCTCATCCTGGTCCTTACATTGGAAGGGTTCCATGTTACAGTGTCTCTCAATACTCTCACAAGGAGAGCCAAGCCTGAGCACAAGAACCGTTAGGGAACAAAATATATGCAAACCATAAAGCAGAGTCCCGGTAACCTGGGACTTGACCAACACCTTTCACAACTTGACCCTAGGGTGATACAAACTTGGGTTTTAAATTGATTAAAATAAATTATGCATTCTATCTTCAAAATGTTTGAGGTTCATTCTAATGCCCTCTTGTCCGACTATCACCCAATATGAAGAAACCAATATGAATTACTATGGAAGTTAATACAGATTCTGTACTAAAGGGAGCAAATGGTCTGATTTTGTAATTTGTTACGTACTTCCACTGGAAAAATATGCATTTTAACATTCCACAAACTCTTATGACTGCAAAGCTATAATCAATGTAGTGACACACTTAGTTCATATGTTTTAATGTATGATCCTTTAAAAAATTCAAGTGCATTTTTGTAATTACATTACATTTTACCATATGTTAATTTTTCTTAACATATTTACTTAATGAGTTGGTTATACATTTAAATTTCATTTTCTCTAATAGTTACAGTCAAATGTAACATCACTCAGAGGTAATTATATTTTCCCCTTTCTTATCATCTTGAAGTAGCATCATGTTAAAACTTATTAAAATATTCATTTGAAGTTTTAAGGTGCTGTGTTCAATAAGCTTATTTTTAGAAAAATATTTTCAACTAAACTTACTTGGAATTATATCCTTATCCTCCATTAGTCTCCTTTTCCAGAGGACATTTGGTCTCAGCTTCTGTTTTCAGTTTTTCTGTAGACTAAGCGGAGGAGAGAAGCAGCTAGAAATAGAAGGGAAGTGACAGAGGGAGGTCACTTATTTATTCATGTTTCTAACTAAATCTTTAAAAAATGTCTAGCTCCAATCTTTGGATGAGTCTACCTTGTAAAGCTCATCAGAAATTCCTGTCAGCTGGGTTGCTCTGGGTTGCGGAATAGATCTCTCCTCTCACCCTTCTTCAGTACATTCAATCCTGGGGGCAGCAATGGACCATCTCCCTTCTTACTAAGGGCTGTGCCTTCCTGGCATAGTCCCTTTAGTGTGCCAACATCCTGCCCACAACTTTGTCATAATTTTTTTTTTAATTCTTTACAGATTAACAAATTGGTATATACTCTTCCGCTTTATGCCCGAGTGCTATCAGGAAACAGCTGCTTCTTATTCCAACTACAAAATGAACATCCTCAAATTAAATGTTTTTTTGAAAAAATAAAAGTTTGCTTCTACTTAGTACCACATTTTTAAAAAGTCACTGCAGTCACCTGATAACTCAGTGCCACATTAAACTGCAAAATAACATCTAGAGTTCAAAAAATGTCTTGGCTCAAAATCAAACTTTCTGGATATGAGGGCACTTGTAATCCCAGTACTCGGGAACCTGAAAGAGGAAGATTAGATGTTTGAGCTCAGCCTGGACAACCTAACAATTTAGTGAGAAAATGTCTCAAAAAAAAAAAAAAAAGAAAAAAACCAACAACAACAAAAAACAAAAAAAACTTCAAAAGAGTTGGGCGTCCAGATCAGTAAGAACCTCCTGGGTACTGCAGAGATGGCAGGGAAAAGGTGGCAGTCAAACCTTGATTCACATACAGTATTACACAGAAAATCAAAATGTACTCATTAACAAATGTGCACCTTTGTGTGTGTGTATGTGTGTGTGTGTGATACCAGTATGGAGAAGATTAAGGAAAAAGATACCACAGAATTATGATTTTTTTCTAATTTCAAACATGTGAAGGATTATAGTGGGGTTGCATGAAGATCATATGGATATGTACCAAAAAGAAAACAGAGCGATTTCCAGCATTAATAAAGGATAAGGAACTAAATGAAACTTAAACACATCAAATTAAGAAAGAAAGACCAAAACAGAGCTTGATAGTAGCAACTACATCAGCAATAGAAGACAATCTTGAAAGCAAGGACATTAATAAAACAGTTATATTTTACAGCTTCACTGATCCCTCACAATGTGTTAACAATATTCAGCAGGGCTTTTCTTATTCTTATGTTTGAGGCAGGAATACTTTCTAAAATTCTCTAGTAAGCCAGTGAATTGTAAACCTATTCCTTGCTTATCCTACACCTAAACATGGTATCCAAATTTAGGTGATTCAGCCTCTTGAATGAAAAATGCTGGGTGGAAATGGGCACCAATTCATGGGGGATTGCAGTCAAGTGTGTGATCAGGGTCTCTGTTACAGGCTATCGACATCATGAGGCAAAACAGGATGAAGTTCTGTTCAGACACAACAATGACCACCAAGGGCATTACTGAAGCGTCTTATGCTGGGCAGCCAAGAAGGAGAGTGAAGTCCCATAAGCAGGAATTGGAGCTTCTTTTAAAAGCAGCTCATGAAAAAGCTACTTTCCTTCAGGGAAGCAGGAGGAGGATTTGACCATCAGATCCACGATTAGAGCAGGTGTTGTGCTCTGCTGCTTGTGAAGAGCTCATTTCCTCCTCACTACTATTTGCTATTCTGTCCCATAGGAAGCTCTGAACTGAATAAATACAACTAGATTATTTTTTCCTTAAGAGAAACATATATTAAATTCTTTGATATTTGCTAAGATGTGGATGTGCTTTAAACCAACTGCTATGAAAATAACATAAACATAAGTTTGTGACTAGATCCTTTTATTTGCATTGCATTTCTGACTATGAGATTCCTCTGCAAAGCCTGAAATTAAAACCATTTTGTTGGTGAATAGTAGAAGTCTAAAGAAAAACAGTAGCAACACCGAGGAGTAAGAAGAGTGTGTATGTTGTTCACTTTGCATAAAAATTATTTTCATATGGTGAATGGGAGAAACACACTAGAAGAACAAAATGAAATCTTTTAAAAAGTCAATTCTTTTTCTTTTTTCTTTTTCTTTTGAGACAGGGTCTCACAACATATTTCAGGCTGACCTTGAGCTTGCTTTGTAGCGCAGGCTGGTCTGGAACTTACAACGATCCTCCTGCCTTAGCCTCCTGAGAACTTGGGATCAAAGGTGTGAGCTATGTGCCTAGCTAAAAAGCGAATTCTTTAAAAACAATGTTTATCAAATTGACAATGCAATATAATAATTACTGCAGCTATTCCTTAAGCTATTCACAATTCAAACTTTCTAAGCATTTCATGGTGCATACTGTTATTATTTGAGCATAAATTTATCTCTTTATATTTTTAGTTGCTAACTGAGTAGATCCAGGATGTACACTTTGTTTCTCCCTGTTGATTAATCCAAAAACAAGTTCCTTCTCTTCTTTCCTTCTTTGATGCTTTGTCAATGAGTATCTTTTCAGCTTGTAAGTTCTGATCATTGAATTATACTCTATGACTGTGTACCATCAAATCTTTCTGGCTATATATGTGTCAGTGTAACTTATATGTTAATGACTAAGGCTGTTTCAGAAACAATATGTAAAATATTACACAGAGGAAATGCGAG